GCATCTGGGAGGGAATTGCCATTTGAACATGGTTGTAGGAGTATTTAGAACTCTTAATAGAAATAGCTGGAAGACTGACTACATGTAGAAGAAAGGGAGAAAAAATCATGTATTTCCTTTTTAACAAAACAGTATTTTATTATGTTTTCAGGGAAGGAGTTTACATAGCAGTTTAGGCTCCCATTCAATACTTTCTGCATAAGCTGTTTAGTGACATCGATTACGTGTTACACGGTGTATGAGTTATTTCTCATTATTTCTATTCTGGTTGTTCTGTTTCTATTAATCTAGTTTCCCTGCTCTCTTACATCCTCATTGTTGATAAAGTAATTGTTGACTATTTGATCTCATAGACGATTTATTTATTTTTAATTGTGATTTGGGTGAAGGTCTACAGAGCAAATTGGTTTTTCATCCAGTGATTCATATACATTCTGTTTTGTAACATTTACTATAATCCCCACACTGTAACAGCATTCTTCCTACTTCTTCCCTGTGCCCATCCCTTCCCTTCCTCCCTCTTTCCTAACATCCTGCTTTCCTAGCTCTGTCCCGGGGCAAATACTATCCTCTTGATTTCATATGCTTCATTCTTCTGATGAGTGCATGTGCTCCTTGTATTACTGTTTACCTTATAGGCCTACCATTTGGCTGAAAGTTGAGTAATGGGGGTTATGTTCAGTCCTAGGTTGAAGAGTATCTAAGGGACTTGGTCTCAGGGTTTCCACCAATTTTTGTCAGACCAGTAAGCCTGGCCTTTTTTGTGAATTTGAGTTTTGTTCCACATTTTCCTCCACTCTATCTGGAACCTCCTATTGTAATCTCTTTCATTATGGTCAGCAGTAGGAGATGGGCATCATCTAATTCTTTTGCTCTCAGGGTCATGGAGGCTGGGGTTCACATGGACCATTAATCCTCTGGACTAATTGTTTCCATGGGTCTTTGCTTTTCTTCACTCTTCTTTGCTTTGGATGGGGAGAGACAAATAGTTGCACCTTAGATAGCTGCTCACAAGCTTTTAAGACCTCAGTCACTACTCACCACAGTAGAATGTAGAACATTGTCTTTGTGGACTATGTTATATCAGTTGACCTTAGTGCCCCTCAAGACTATGGTCCTGAGCCTCCATGCCCAGCAACTTATTCTCTCAAGATGTTTGGTTATGACCAAGAAGTTTTCATAAGTTTGTTCCCTGTATGCGCTACTACATTCATGGATACATTTGCAGCTCATATAAATACATAGGCAGAGATATTCTTTGTCTATAGGTGATTTTGTAAAGGAACACATACTTATTTAAAAAAAAAACTCATTGCCAACTAGTTGATTCCAACTCATAGTGACC